CCCGCTGCCCCCACTTCGGGGCACCCCCCCGCACCTCTCCCATCCATATTCCCCCCCAGTCCAGGGAGCTGCATCAGGATCCCTCCAAATCGCACAAGCCCGGGGCAGGGAGGTTGTCACCCAGACCCTGGGAGAGGGAGTCAGGAGAGGTTTGGGGGCACCCGGATTCCTGGGCCCCTGCCCCAGCGCCGCTCTCCCTCCTCCCGCAGAGCCGCGCGCCCTTGAGCTACGGCCCAGCCGGAGAGGGAGCGGGAGCCGCGGGGGCTTGTCCTGGCGTCAGGCAGCTGGAGAATGAACGGAGAAGCCGAGTGCCCTACGGACTTGGAAATGACAGCGCCCAAAAACCAAGGTGAGGGGCCCCTCTTGCTGCCCATGCCACGTCTTGCAAAGCTTGGGAGGGCCCGCGGGCTCCGGAGCGGGATCCAGCAAGGGAAAACCCTGCTGGATCCGGGGCTGGGGCTGGCACAGCGCGGTGCTCCCGGCGCCGCGCACATCTGGGCTGCATTAAAAGTGGAGCCGTTACCTTGGGCCTCCGGCTCGCAGACCCTGCGATGACATCAGGGTTGGGATTTTTTAATTGAAAAGTGGAAGGGGGAGGCGCAAAAAAAAGGTAGGAAAAAAAAGGAAAAGGAAAAGGGTGTTTATAGGGAGCCTGAGCACAGGGCTCTGCTGCCGGCCCGGCTCCGAGCCCTCCCGGCCCCTTGGCTCCACGCGCGGCTGCAGCACGTGTCTGACTGCTGGGGATTTAGTTACACCGGGGCAGGTTCCTAATTTAGAGCTGTGCTGCCGGTGCCGGGAGGCGCCGGGCTCCGTAGTCACGGCTCCTACCGGGTCGCCACCTCCTCTTGCTGGGGTTGGGATGGGAAAAAGGGGCCAAAAATCACAGATTTGGGGTGCACCCAGCTCTGATCCTGAGCCTGGCGGGGAGGAACCCACCCGGGTTTCTGTGCAATTCCCAATGGGAGAGAGGAGCTCCCCATGGGCTGAGCTCTGCCCCGCTCCCTTTGGCAGCTCCGGGTGTCCGCAGCTCTGCGGAGCCGAGCTGGAAAGGGTTCCGCTCCAGCCCTTCCCCAGGATCTTTCCCTGCGCTCCCTCTCCGGCAGGAGAATTCCCGCTGCGAGCCGCCCGCGGCCGTATCCTGCCCGCTGACTCCCCGCCCGTGGGAACGGTGCCGCTCTGGGCCGCCCGGCTCTGCCGCCTCCAGGCTGTCCCCACGTCCCGGAGCTTTGACCTTGGCAGAGGTCAATGCGGAGCTGGATCCCGGGCAATGCCGAGCCTCCCTGCTAAGGCAGCCCCGTTCCCGATGGTTCCCGCTGCCCTCGACACGTTTCCCCCCTCCCCACTTGGAATCATGTTGCCCCGTTGGCCTTCCCGGCTGCAGAGCCCCTGGCTCCCATCGGGATGAGCTGGGTCCTTATCTGATAGTGCGCGGGAGTGAGCAAGTCCCTTGGGGTGGCGCCGAGAGGATTTTCTAGCTTTGCCCGGTAGGAAGTTGCTCCGGGGTGATGGGAAGAGCCTCATCCCTTCGTCTCCGTAATCCGGGGAGGCGGCAGCGCGGCGGCCGGTGCCGCGGCGCGTGGGGAGCGCGCGCTGAGCGTCCCGCTCGCCCGCAGACCGCTGGTCGCAGGAGGACATGCTGACGCTGCTGGAGTGCATGAAGAACAACCTGCCCTCCAACGACGGGAGCAAGTTCAAAACCACCGAGTCCCACCTGGACTGGGAGAAGGTGGCGTTCAAGGACTTCTCGGGGGAGATGTGCAAGATGAAGTGGATGGAGATTTCCAACGAGGTAAGCGCGTGCGGCGGCCGCGTCCCGGCCCGTAGCACTCGTGCCCTCCTTGCGAGGAATCCCGCGGGTTTGTCCCTGCTGTCCCCTCCTGGCACATGCGGCATTGGCAGCCCTCCTTCCCGCGCACAGGGGAGGAAGTTCCGGACCCTCACGGAGCTCATCATGGACGCGGAAGAGCACGTCAAGAACCCCTACAAGGGCAAGAAGCTCAAGGTAGGACAGCGGGGCAGGAGGGAGGTCCGGCCGCGCGCGGGGGGGGTGTCACCAGCGCGGGACCCGACCTCGCTGCGGGCTCGGCGCCGAGCGCAGGGAACATTTAATACGGCTGCTATTCCTGTCCCGCGGGGGCGGCCGGGCCCCCCCTGCTCCCTGCTCAGTGCTGCCCCCCGGCTCTCCCCCCAGAAACACCCCGACTTCCCCAAGAAGCCGCTCACTCCCTACTTCCGCTTCTTCATGGAGAAGCGCGCCAAGTACGCCAAGCTGCACCCCGAGATGAGCAACCTGGATCTCACCAAGATCCTCTCCAAGAAGTACAAGGAGCTTCCCGAGAAGAAAAAGGTACCTGGTGTGAGGAGGGGTTGGGAAGCTCCCGTGGGTGCTCACTCCAAGGAGGATCCGGTCCTGCTCTGGGATATGAGGGGGAGAAGCCCAGGAGCTTGATCGCTCCCACCAGAGGAGGCTTCCTTTGCTCCTGCCATCCCACTTCCCAGCATCCGTGGGTTGTGAGGGCTGGGTCTGTCCCATCAGTCAGACCCAATTGGTGGCTTTGGTGCCACGTGGGTCCCTTCTTGCTGCTGGGTCGGCCTCCTTGTGCCCCGGGGTGGCCGGCGAGTTGTCGGGGTGCCCACAGGGGTGGCAGGGCCGTGTCTGTCCCTTCCCTGATGCTAACGTCCCTCTGCGCTCCCAGATGAAATACATCCAGGACTTCCAGCGGGAGAAGCAGGAGTTCGAGAGGAACCTGGCGAGGTTCAGGTGAGTAGCGACCCGTGGGCTTCATGCTGGTCCCACAATCCACAGGTGGGTGGGAAGTGAGAGGGAAAACTGCCTAAAGAGCAAGGGAAAAGCACCCGCGAGCAGCCCCCGAGCCGGGGATTTGGCCGGCACAGCGAGGGGCAGAGGCCCCACCGCGCTCTGGGCACTAGTGACTGCAAGGGGAGAGCAAGGAGCCTGGTGATGTTAAACACCTTGCGGCCGCTCTGTCTCCCATGCACATTCCCTTGGAGCTGGACTGTGAGCTCCAGGTGGATCCCGGGGATCCCAGGGATCTGCAGCTTGCAAACTGTCCAGGGATGCAGCCAAGTGCGGGACACTGAAGGGGATGCTCCTACCTTGTGCTCCCCAGGGATCACAGCCCTCATTGTCACCTAAACCTCCCCACCACCCATTTTGGGGACTCCTGCAGCCCCCCGTGCCGCAGCCCTGTGGAGCCTCCATGGTCCCCGTCATCCCATAGCGGGAAGGCTTGGGGTGGGCGACCCGCTCCTGCCGCCCCGTAACGCTCTCCCTTCGCCGCCGCCCCAAGGGAAGACCACCCGGACCTCATCCAGAACGCCAAGAAATCCGACGTCCCCGAAAAGCCCAAGACCCCCCAGCAGCTGTGGTACAACCACGAGAAGAAGATCTACTTGAAAGTGCGTCCAGATGTGAGTACGGTGGGGGGAGTGCGTGTGAGCGTGAGTGCCGGGGGGTCCCCCCCCCCGCCGG